TAGCTGACAATGCACTGCTATGTGGAGCAGAAAAAGAAGCATCTCTGCTTCGCCTCTGCTTTTGGCTCTGTGTGTCTTTAAGTGGGACAACTTTGATGGAATCTTTGTTGTTAAAGCTAAGAGTTTGGCTTGTGGCAAAATAGCATGACAAATAATGACACAAAAAGAAGAGCCAGTCTGAGAAGAATGTCAGTAACTAGGCGTCATCCCATGCTTTTACCAAATGCTGATATTTGGCATACTTTTCTGCATGATATCATCATTTCCTCAAGGAGAAATTGAGATGTTATACTGTTGAATTGGCTTATTGTCTAGGGGCAGTGGGTTCATTTGTAATTCTGATGTCTCAGCAGTTGTTTTAACAGAGACGTGATTTGTATCGCTGCCATAAAACGTTGCAAAGTGTTTAATCAGAGTGACTCGTGAGAATTAAGGCTTCGTTGACGTTCCAGTGTTTAAGTGGTCTCAATCACAGAAGGAATTTTAATGAGAATTGTCACAGAGCTCTCAGTCCAATAAAATATTGAATGTGTGAGGCACGAAGAAGCAAGTGTGCGCATCCACGTACTGAGCCGATCCGTCCAGAAAGTGGGTGAAAATCCTCACGGCTGTTGGGCTGTTAATCTAGGGCCTAATGCCAATCACTGGGACATGTTAGCTCCAAACTTCCTCCAACAACATAAGAGGATCATTGACGCACACAACTGAGCCTAATTTCTCACTTGGACTCTCTACTCTCACTCTGAGTTGGATAAGTTACATACATCTGTTCTGTTTTCTGTGCAAACCAATCATGATGTTCACTGTGCTTTAACACATAACACTTTATATATTTCTGTCCTAACCAATATCTTTTTTAAAATTTTTTTTTAGACCCTCAATCCCAAATGGAACGAGGAGTTCTACTTCAGAGTGAGTTAATATTTAAAAAACTCTTTGAAAATGCCCCAGTCTTCCCAGTGTCCACTGCGACAGTATGTTATTGCACTTGTTTACCCTAGAGTGGTGGTGTTACAGTTGTAAATCTTTGGTGGTAGTTTAACTGAGAGCTGAGTTCCACCTCTTGCGACAGTGTAATCAGACAGACCATATTAAACTTTACGAGTTCAGCCACATGCGCATGATTTCCCCTCACCTATTACACATTAAATAATTATAATTTAGCCATGTGTTAGAGAGTTGTATTCCACTATGGCTGGCACTTTTTCCAAAAATCAATTTAAATATTGAATCCGCTCGTCTGTTACGTCTCCTCCGCCTCACCTGGGTGGAAGGGTTACCCCTATTGTCCACCTTCTAGCAACAGCTACCTACCCAAGTCTTTGCATGTACATCTGCATTGGCTTTGCCACATATCCACTGGATGACTGCTGTTCCTCATCTCCCCTGTTATTTTGTTGTCAACACAGGTGTGCCCGCAGAATCACAGGCTGCTCTTTGAGGTGTTTGATGAAAACAGATTGGTAAGGCTCACGCTTAATAACCTCTTACCCTTCGCTCCCTAAGTTGCTTATATTGCACTGTATGTTTTTATTTTCTGTGTGTTTTGACAGCTCTCAGCTCTCTGATTTATTTAGTCACACCAAATGCAAATGTTATGTCTGTTTTAATTTACTTCATGCAGTGTTTGCATTTGTGTTATGTATTTGTATTGTAAACTGTCTCTATAAAATCTAATCTATTTTCATTTGGTGATAGGATTTCTATTAGTACTTCATGATTTTGTCTCAATTTTGACAGTGAGACATGATGTACCACCAGATAAAATATGATAATTGTAATACATTTCATTCTCAGTCTGACACATTGCCAGAGTCTAGAGTAAGCCTATATCACAGGCTTACAGCTGTAGGCTCAGGCAACATAACAGGCAAGAGAAATACACTGCAGAGGCAGTGTACGTCTTGTTTGTCTGCAAGTTTAATCTCTTTGCTTAAAGACCGTAGTCCACTACCAACTCGTACATTCCTCTTATCTGAAGTTTCTCAGATTTCCCTCACACAGAAGAGAGCCCCAGTTTCCCTGTAAAATTGCATGCTCTCAGTTGCCATAACAACTACATTAAATGTCTACACAATTGTCAAGTGTAATTAAAACAGCACAAAGAGGTCTTGATTAGCAATTTCCTCTCTGAAGAGGTGTGTGAAGTGGTTGTTGACATTTTGAAGACATTGAAGAATTATTACTACTGTTTGTTAAAGTTGTCTCTGTAAGTCTGGGGATCTGGAGTCTGGTGTTCAATAAAAAAACAGTCAAACACAATGTAGCCCAAAGTAGAATAGGTCCTCTTGGCTGGATAAGGCACATTCTGTCTGTTCCTCACAGCTCAATAGCTACTGCTATCATACAAGACCTCCATGGGAGTTTGAAAGGTTTCAGCGTGGGCAGTGTCTTTTTGTAACATTACTTAAATCAGGTAAAAACTGTTTTTTTAAATAATCAATATACATTTATTATAATAACACATTTTATTCTCAGTCAGGCTCTTTCATGCACATGTTTTGTATGATTTGTAAATCAGAGCGTACTGTACATTCTTGTGTGTTCTGCATGCATGAATCACTTGATCTCCGCCTGTGAAGAAAAGGTCAGCTCTAATTTTCTACTAAGTACAGTGGGAGCTCTTTGTTGCAGTATAGAAGAAGGAGACACAAGAAAGCACGGCACAGGCAGCCTGAAGCCTTATTCTCTCCTTATAAGTCCGAGGAGGTGCTTTTCTGTCTATCTCTAGGTGCATACCAAGGCAGCTCCTCCACCACTGGCTAGTATTTCTTTGAAGGGGTTGTTTGTTCTCCTGCAATTATTAATTTATGGTTTATTTGTCAGATGAGATGAATGTTTGACTGAGCTTGTGCTGTAGCATCTATGATAGATTGTGGTTCACCAGTACAGATGTAAGTCTCTGCAAAATATCACAGAACTAAAAATGAGGCTGAAAGTTGTAAAGAAAAAGGTTAAAGAAGTTTATAAGACAGTGAAATGCTTTGTTTGTAGCAGGCATGTTATGTCATTTGGCAAACTGGGCTGGCTGCCATTAGACCACACATTGGTATTATGTTTGTTTTATACAGAACATTCTCCATAACATTTCATGCACCCTTTTATTGACTATGCCTAACACTGTAGGCAGTGTATCAACACTAAGTGTGACTGGCTCCCGAGACACGATTTCTTCCTGCACTTCTTTTCCCTTTGGCTATTTCTCTGTCGCCAGTCAATATCATCAGTTTTTTCCTTTATCCCCATTGTGGTACACTGTCATTGGCTTGGCTATCAGCTTGTTGCTTTTGATACAGGGTAAACCATAAGTCATAGAAGTTGGAACAACTTTTTTGGAAGACATATCCCTGTAAGGCCAAATTACCATAAGGGCTTTGTTAATTCTATGTATGAAGGCCAACAAATCCCCCACTAACCTTGGCGTCAGGGCAAAGACGCCTAAAACCCCCATTTTCAGTGAATCACTAAGACTGTCTCAGAGGATAAAGCACTCTCATGAATGTACAGTTCGCAATTGAAATGCCTCTCTCTGTTTTATCTCTGACTGAAGCCAAATAACATTACAAGTGCTTAAGAATAAGCTTTTCAGCATAGCAGACGAGGATGACAGCTGAGTTGTATCTTGGGTGTTTTTTTGGATGCAAACAGAATGGCCTATAAATCCACCAGACAGTTAAGTGTTTGGCTGTGCTTGGTAGACGGCGGATGTCTATTCTGTTTGAAGCAGACTTAGATATCAATCCCCAAAGAGGGCTGTGCTCTTTGCCTTATCAAAGCTGCAATCTGGCAGATATGCTTCTCCCCACCCTTCCTTTTTACTGGTCCATTTTTAGCAACAACTTCCATATGCTTCTTTTTTTCTTGTTTTCAAGCTACAAGGACAATTATCCTAATAACACACTACCAAGTAAACAGCATTTTCTGATAACCTTAACCTGAATAAGGTCACAATCTGAATATAAGCAATAATCAAATTCAGCAATATAGTTTTCCGACCTTAGTGGCATTATCTAGCCAGGTATATGTCCTAATGAAATTATAAAGTCCTATTTGAGTTTTCACAGCATTTTTTAACATCGACATATGGCAGTTAGGTCCTGGGTTGAAGTGTTAACAAGTGCTAGGATGTAATATTGTTGTGAATCATAATCACTAAGCTCTGTAACAGGTAACCAGGAATGGGATGTTTTGGCCTTAAATCTTTATAGTTATTAAGAGATGTTTCTTTGTGTACTGTGAGTCTGCACTGTGAGTGTAAGAGGTAGAGATTATATTAACCCATTATTATGAATATAAGTAACGTCAGTAGTATGATGAAGACATTTTTAAGAGGAAGAAAAACTGAGCTACACTAACTTAGGCAGCAGTTTTAGGCTGGAGAATGAAATGGTAGGTAATGTTTATAGTAAATTATTGGTGTTGTAAATGAGTAGATTACGTGCAACTTGGAGTGAGGACATTGATGAGAGGGGTGGAGGTAGATACGTGGGCAGGGGTTTTAAAGAGATCATGTGAACAGAGGGAGGGATGGACAGGGGTAAGTAGGATGTGTTTGGGGGGCCAGTTGGCACTTGAGGGCAGCATGAGGTTGTAAGAGGAGGTGGTGGGGCCATTTGTAGTCACGTGACTGACAGGCAACCCACTGTCACCTCGGAAACCAGGAGTGCCAGCCTCTCTTATCCAATCATGTCAGGAATGCTGGCCGTCACTCGGCTCAGGCTATTTCTGCTGTCTGTCGCTAGTGCTTGGTAGTGCTAAGAGTCTGGCATATAGGGATCCTTCTTTTTTTGTTTTTCCCCCTCACCCATCCCCTCTTTAGCCTTCTCTCTGCCACTCCTTTTAGCACGTAGTAGAGTCGTCAGCTCTTTTGCAGTGGCTGTATGGTTTCTTGTGACTTCTTTCCTCCTTACAGTTTAGTGTGGGAAGGAAAGTTGTGGAAGAGACTCGAACCGGGTGGGAGGGAGGGGGTGAGGGAGAGTGGAAGAAAAAAGGGGATCAGTCATCCAGCCAGCCAAAGGAGAGAAGTAGGCGACACTAAGAGACAGAGACGGGAGCCAGAGGAGAGAGGAGGAACCAAAGAGCCAGTCAGAGAGAAAGTGAGAGGGACTGGGAGCTGTGGGACGTGAGGTGAAAATGGCACAACGTCTGCGTTTGTATTTTGGATCAGGCCGCAGTAACACAGCCCCGGAGATACTGGAAGGGGACTGTGAGGACCACGACAAAGATGTGGTTACGCCGCTTAGCATGCAGCCACCTCAAGAATCAAGATCTTCTCAAATGCAAGCTGCGCAGCGTGTCCCACCAAGGGCTTTTGGTCCGCTCTCTGAGCCTTTGCTTAAACGCAGCTCCTCCATGTTCATACCCCAGCTTGCTGCCTACACTGACCCACGGCCCACTAAGAGCTCCTCCATGCAAATCTCCCTCCAGCGTTCCAATGGATCAAGTAATGGAGATTCCATTGGCCCTGCGGATGATATCCCGCCACCTAGTTATAGTCCTCCAGGACCTGCGCCTGCCTATACCGAACCACAGATTCAAACAGATATTCCGCTGCCGCCGCCTCCTCCGTACGACAGCCCGGATTCTTTCAACTCGCAAACTTTTCTGATGGAGCCGAACTTGCCCAAACGCAGAGTCTTTAGTATTGGTTCAAATGGCCATACTGTGTACAGCAAAGGACAACCTGGTATCAGTGGAATTTGCATCCAGAGGAACTCCCCTGATGGATCTGATATCCAGCATTTCAGAATCCTTCCTTATGGTGGTACTGGCTGGTCTGTCCAGCAGCAGAGCTTAGACCATTGCTCTGGTGGGAATGGTGGAACACAGAGATTAGTGTTTCAGCTCCAGCAAAATCAGGACCAGGATCAGAACCAGGGCAGGCAACAGGCTGCTGCTGCATCACCAGAAGAATGCACAGATGTTGGCCTTGCCAGCTTAAAAGCTGGCCGTGTCGTGCGCTACCCCAAAATTCGACTGGAGCGAGGCTCATCTTATCAGAGGCTGCTGCTGGAGAATCAACAAAGTGGTGCAGATAGCCAAGCTATAGAGGACACCCAAACAGACACAGAGACACAGATAATGGACGCAGGAAACAGATCCAATGGTTGTACTTTCAAAATCAGTGGAGATGCTCCTCGAAGGCAGCCTCATTTCAAGATATATTTTACCTCGGGTGGAGGTGGAGATCAGGATGTGAACCTTTGCAATGATTCCATGAGGAATAATCCCAAGGTAAAGATCTCTGAAAAAGTTTATTTGGACTGTGTCCAAAAGATGATATTTTATTGTTTCTGGGTTGCAGTTAACCCTAAACCAACTGTGTTTGAGTTATGAACACTGTACAGTATTACATTTTTGTCTTAATGTTATGGAAAATAATTTTTCAAATGAATAGTAAATAAACCAACAAACAGAGGAAGTGGATCATCCCAGTTATGACATTTAGATGAATATTATGATAGTTCATATGTATTGTGGCCAAAGGAACAGATGGTAAAAGGGCTGATGTAACAAATGAAACAGAAGCTGAGTGAAATCAGTGCTAGGAGTTGCTTGAGTTTCGCTTATGTGATTCACTGAATCCAGCCCATATGATATGGTGGTGACACTCTGGGAAGTGAAAAGCATAGACGTGGTTTCTGAGCTTAAGCACACACATGCTGGCTGTCTTTCAGTTGACAGCCACAGGCATTTGAAATTTTTTACACATCAGCCAGTTCAGTTATGAAAAGAAAACAGAAACAGGTTTATGGGTGAATAGATAATTTCTCAACCATGCACTTGTTGCTGTCTGCTTCACAGAAATGTGACATAAGTTTGGTGATACCCTTAACTGCGACCAGTGGTCGGCTGTTTCTATCTTTAGTCTGTTTCGAGTGTGGTTGTTGATTTTGAGAGCGGGCAGACGGCATGTCGTCTTTGGCTCTTGGTTGGTATGGATCTGTGTCCTCCTCGCAGCTGCTCTGTGACTGATTAAGAACTAAGATGTCATCACAGCACAACGACAACCACAAGCTGCTTCAATATATCCTTGAAAGTCTTTTGTTTAAAGATTGTTCTTTGGAAATGGGAAACATGGGATTGAGAGAGAGAATTGGTATGAGCAGCAACAAAGGTCCTCCCCTCCGAAATTGAACCGTGGACATTTCAGTTACACGTCATGAGCTGTAACAATCGGAGTGCTCCAGGCCTGATGTCTTTTTCTGATGCTCTCTGCTGTCCGTTGCTCAACCTTTGAAAGCAAAACAAACCTGGAGGTTGCACTTTCATAATCACCCCCATGTTTTAAACAACTAAAACAGTCAATTATAATGCATCAAACTTAAAGGTACCCTGTGGAGTTAGGGTTCAGTTTCAGGGTTAGGGATCACCTCTAGCAGCACTGTGGAGCTGTCTTTGTGTTGTTTAGATATGTAAAGACACACATGCACAGTTATGCCAATAGTTTAACATTTTTATAATGATCAAATGGTGGTGGTAATAAGCCACAATACAATAAGAAAGGTAATAAAGAAGACTCCTAGTAACGGAGATTGTTTTGGAAGTGTTTTATCATACAGAAAATGCCTTCATCAGGTTGCACACAATTCGCTTTTTGATAGATACACTGAATATGAATATAACTTTTGTTTCTTTACAAGAATTCTGCACTTGGATTCTTTACTACTGACCAAATGCTGTAATATAATATAACATATTATAAAATGGTTTAATTATCTACAACAATAAAGTGATGAGTGTAGTTGTGTTGGAACATATCCCAGAGTCCAAGGATTCATCTAACTAAGATTTCTGTCATGAGGAAGGTAATGTGCTAGTTTTTATCATGTGAGTCACATTTCCCATAAACCAGTTGTTTTTCTAATCAGTAAGTCTTGACACAAGGATATCCACACTATGCTAAGCAGTGCTAATCTTGAGGCCAGAAGTTATACATGTAAAAATGTTATCATCTAAAAATACCTTTATTTTTGTCAGAGTTGGGGATCAGGAATCATCAATGACCTATGATGTAATTGAGTTGCTAATATTGTCAGTTCTCCACTGATTCATCCACAATCTTAATGTCTTTTTAGTCAGATTCTTGAAAGCACTTACTTGAATGTTTTTACACACCTCTCATTTTGAAACACGTGGTGTTTTGTTTTCCCAGGGCATTCTGTCTCCCATGCAACAAGGAAACCCTCATTTAGACCATAATGATAGGTCTTCCCCAACTGCTGGCCTTGAGTTGGGCTGCCCCTTTTTAAAGCCCTGCATGGGATACTCTGTGTGTGTGTGTATGCCAGTGAGACTAGCTGCAGACAGCTGTGCCACCGCACTGTGCCCCTGTTACAGCCCTGCTTTGACACCCTCCAGTTTCCATTCAGAAAGAGCTCTTGAAAGTCCCCGGGGTGGCTATATTTACCTGAGATGGCATCATGGATGGGGCTGCTCTCTCACTAACATATGAGAGGGATAGATATTGCTTTTGTTGTGAAGGGCTTTTGTCTGTCATCTCTGATCTCTGAGAGTTGCACTGCGTAGTAACTCGGTTGTGTCAGCATGGAGAGTGTTGAGTAGGTGAGACAACCCTTTCACATCTCATTGACAGCCTGGACTTGTTCCAGGTTCCTCTATATCATAAACTCAGTCTGCTGCCATTACTTTGTGTAGCTTCACAGCAATTCATGACAGCAGCAGTTTGCATGGAGAATTCTTGTTACTATATGTAGTTTTATTTCTCAATACAGAAACAAGAAATGTGTTTGTGGTGCTTGCATACAAAAAACCTGATCAACGTCATCTCTTTTCATTACACTGTCTTAAACTAACGTTTTCGTGTTTTAGTCTATAAATATATTAACTATAAAATATATTAACTAGCTAGCTATATGCACTCCTTCATTTGCCTCTTAAAATATTTGTCCATCACCCTTTTTTGTGGTTGTTGGTAGTGGTAATACGTAGAGTGTAACCTGGCCTTGGGAGGCAGCTGCAGGCTCAACTGTGACCCTCTGATGACTCTGCAATTATATCCCTCTGCATAAACATACTCAGCTTAAAATTCTTGTTATGGTTAAGAGCAGAAAACAACAGCCATGTGTCGTAGGATTACGTTTGTCCCATAGGAAACTGCCATTACTACTCCTTATTTCAAATGTTGCAAGCTACAGGGTCTTTACTTTTATGTGGCCAAGATTAAATGCTCATAGTGACCGATCAGGCCCGAAAGCTGTTAAAAAAATAAATTAATAATGCACTTTTCATATTCACGTTTAAAGGTCACAATCAACACATCTGGCACAGTGTGAAAAGATACTTTCATACACAAGCTGTGATCCAGGTTTATTTTTTCTGCTCTTTCCCAATCCAGATGAAACATATGATTCAATCTGCTGTAAATGAATTGCCTGATAGCTTTGGGGCATGAAAGCAAACACGGTGGTAGTTTACACAGAAGTGGCTCTGGTTTTTCCGAGAAGGAATAGTTTAAACACTGTGTGTGACTGTAGGTGATTGGATGTGTGAGTCAGTGGGAGCACACATGCATTCAAAAGTGTCCATTTGCAGGACTGTGTATTAGTAACTCTGTTTTTATGGGACTCATTTGTAACCTTTCATTATTGAATTCCAGGTTTGTTGAAACCCAGTGCACTCACTCCCCAACACGCGCTTTTACTTTTACAGAGTAAACCAGTGTGACTGCTGTACAGCTCAACCTCTTAAGATCAATGTGAAATACGTCGTAACTACCAGCCATGCAGACCTACTACAATTTGTGAGGTCTCGCGATTGTACTGCATTATTTAAGGTTTTACATTGCAAAATTACATTTCTTCTGTTTTGAAGATTTAGAAAAAGATGACTAGATCATGGGGCTGTAGTCAACCAAAGAAAATCATGGTCGACTGAAATTGTACTTGCCCTTCAACCAATCGATTAATTGGAGCAAAAAAATGTTTCAAAATAATCCAAATCAAAGTGCATGAAGAACATATATTTTCAGATGATATGTCTTTTTGACCTGTGTTAAACAAACTGTTGGCTGTCTCCATTCGGCTTGGTAGGTTCAAAGTTGCGAAAACAGGAAGTTCATATCTCCCATTGCTGAAATTTATGGATTAATCCTGAAGGCGTAGTGATGTAAAGCTTTCCTCCTTATGAATGTAACTCAGGCGACCAATAATGATTTTGGTCGATTGAAAGCATAATGACCAACCAATGTTCATGTTCTTCAAACTTTTTTGGGTACTTTTTATTCAAAGTTAAAAAGAGAACACAAACTTTATTAGCTTTCACTGTCAAATCAGGAGATCAAGATTCTTAGTGATCTTAGTGTTCAGTTTGCAATGCATTCTATTCATTCAGAATGAATTTTTATGACTGCAGTAAAGCAACAGATTCCACAATGTTATTATTATACAGAATATCTTCTGTTGTACAATAAGGTCTGAAAAATTAATGAACACTGTGTGCAGCACAACACACTGCAGGGTTTCGTCTTTTATTAAGAGAGGGAGTCTTCAATCGACACAGTATGACGTGATATTGTTTTTATTGTTGCCCCCTTGGCAACACATGAAATCTCTCATAACCCACAGGTGGATCACAGCTCACAGTGAGAAACACTGGACTAACACTATCACTTGTATGAACCAGCCTTTCCTGTCAAACCATTGTTACTAGTTAATGCCTGTTGTCTAAATAAGTTGTGTCCCACACGCAGGCTTCAACCAAGAATGGGCTTTTCCATCTGGGACAGGTAATCTTTGCTTCTCCCGGGGACTGCTTCTCTGCAGCTCAGTCATCTGTCGATCTCCCCCTTTTCCTCTCAGTTTGCATTACCCATGGCAAAAAGGATGGACAAATCTACAGGTTTCTTACAGTGAAACCTTCCCTGATTCTTCCCTGTTGTCACATTCACCCTTCTCTCCCTCTGTCTGGCTGACTTGGCTTCTATCTGGTGGCAGTGGATGTTATTTTTCCATGATGGGTTCACGGGTTCTTCTCCTATGAATTGATTTTAAAAGCGTGACCATAGATAAAACCCTTGACTGAGCACCTATGAAAGTCTGTACTCACTGGTCGAGACGATAAAAGCTTTTTCACCTAATAAAGTATAATATTCTAGTAAATATTGTGTGATATTAACAGTAAAACACAGTTTAAATTATTAGAAATTGCTGAATTTTTTTTCAAACATACTGTTTTGCAACCATCATATATTTTCAGATTTCCATAAGTGTTCATTAATAAAACCAGAGGTTACTCCTGGGTGTGGGTCTCTATTTGAAATGAAAATCTTTACCTCTTACACCGCTTGTTACATATAAACACAAAATGCTGCTCGATCCTCAGGTGCATATATATTAATTCAGCTCAACATTGTGTTTTTTCCCTCTTTTTCCCTGATGGAAATGTTGGTATTTCCCAGAAACACTCTAAAGGCTGTACTTTTTAAAAATTAAGCAGCTCAAAGTGTACCTCTCCTTTTCTTTCCTAGACCAGAGATGATTTCCTGGGTCAGGTTGATGTTCCACTCAGTCATCTGCCGGTGAGTTCATTTGCATCTCTTTGTGTGTGTGTGTGACTGTTATATCACTGTTTTGAATACTCAGCTGTTTCTTATCTTGAATGTTGCAGTGCCTGTTTAACCTCTGTGAAGGTCAGGCAAAGAGCATGTGTGTGCGTGAGCATACTTGTATTGAGTGTGAGTGTGAGAAAGTGCTATAGCCTCACAAGCAACGGTTTTGTTGTGATCAGACAACAAGCTCCTCGTCAGAAACGGTGGGACAGGCTGTCTAGAATATAAACAGACGTGACTGTCCTGTGGGGGGGATGCCGTCACGACCAAAGGAAAATGCTACACTTGTCAAATTCAAGTGTTCACATGCACTTGCTCAGAAAACTGAGGGCTGCTGGCACAATAGCTTTTGAAAACAATCACTTGCAGAACCAGTGTGTGCTGCTCCGGGAGTTTTTACAGTTTACGTTCCGTGTGTGGACGGGACCTGATACTAAAACAAACAGCTCATTCTGACGCTGCACATCAGAACTGTGCTGTCAGACTGGTCGTGTCTCTTTGAATTTCTGTCCCAAGTTTGAAACCTTTTTAAAAAGCACATCAGTAAAAGGTGTCAGGGTTAATTGTTAATGTCCGATTTGCCTCCCACAGGACCGGGGAATTAGTGGCAGATAAAAGCAACAGCTGAGTCATGTTGGAGTGAAGTCATTGGATAGAGACTGTTTGGTCCTGATGCAGCTAATGCTTCCTAATGCTGAAAATCTTATTTAAGCCATTAAACAAATTGACTGAGCAGGGGTTAGTTACCTCTACACTTGTGTAGATGCTGCGATCTGCATTTTAGTCGCGTTTTGATTCATCAGTTTTTGCTATGACCTTGCGAGGCAGCTGGATTTCATGCAAGTGAGATTCTGTGTAACAAACCATCTGGCGCATCAGGTTAGCATGACTTCATGTTCTAGGAATTGCAGTGTTATTCATAGTTACTGGAAACAAATTTAGTCATCACCTATTTCTCTATACCAGCTTTTCCTAGATTCTCTTCTTTTACTTTTCATGAATCAGGTCGGCCGTGCTGACTCATCCAGAAGTAATCTGGTAGCTGCATTTTCCTTTTGGAAGTTTGAGCTCCTTCAGATGTTTTCAAACACAAATTTCATGCACCATACAACATGAACCCTTGCCTACTCACGTTCTCACTCAAGCCCTGGTTTGCATTAGTCACACGTGAGATGGGGTACATGTTGTTTCAAGCTTTCAAGAGCAGTTATATGGATGCTTTATATTAAAGATTTAATATACAATTCTTCATTAAAATCTCTGAAAACAACTAGATTGTTTATATCATTATATATTTTGTTGATCTGTGTATTTACATTATCCAAAATGTTTCGCACAATGTTTAAACCTTCAGACCTTAAGAAATCACTTATTTTATTGAACTTTTAATTGTGTTACACTGCTTCGTGCATCTCTACTATAACTTCCAGGGGCAAACAATGTATGAAGAAGGAAATCAGACATCACTGGGACATCGCTGTGAATAGCAGAAGACCTTTCTGCTGTTCAATATGTAATAGGAGAAGCCCAGCATTGCATAATTACCATGCAATGGCTGTGCAGAGGGTTGCAGCTGTGCTCTAAACTCATGACACTGATATTGTGATACGGCAAAATGTGTATTTGCTTGTGTGTTCAATTGATTGCCGTCAACAAATGCTTGTTTTCTTAATTGCAGACAGAGGACCCGGCGATGGAGCGTCCCTACACGTTTAAAGACTTCCTCCTGCGGCCCAGAAGGTCCGTGTCCACCTGATGTGACAAGTGATTAGGGAAAATAAATGCCTGTGATAAAATGTCTTAGTCTGAACTGTGTTTTCTTTGCGCCCATTATTAGCAAATGGAGTAGACAGATTATTAATCTAACAGTGACATTAGTCATAGTTTGCAACATGAAGTAGACTGGTGTCATATTTCCAGGCAGCGTTAAGTTCATCGGGAGGTTAGTTGAACCCCAAAGGTGAAAAACCATCTGTTGCTAGTAGTTGGAAACTTTCCACTATATTTCTTAGCATTAGTCTACCAGGGACAGTGAGGGTGCAGGCCACCTGGTTTTAATGTGCTGTTTTCAAGCGGGTCGATTCTTACTGATGTTAATCTTCCAGTCACAAGTCCAGGGTGAAGGGTTACCTACGTCTGAAGATGGCCTATCTGCCCAAACAAGGAGGACACGAGGAGGAGGCCGGAGAAATAAGGGAGGAGGCTGAGGTAAGATGTTGGCCACGGTTTACCTGCTGACTCAACACTATCTCAGGGGTCTTTATGACCATATCGTTCATTTTCTGAAACCAAAACAGATTCTAGTTCCATTCATTACAAAGACAAACAGTTTAAAGAGCTTAAAGTTGAAAGTAAATGTCCTATTTTTATAGAAATATGTGAGAGTGCTTTTCACTAGGAGCGAGAAGAGAAAGGACAATTCTTCTTTTTGTTCTAAGAATCCTGGCAGCGTCTTTCTACCAGGATTCTGGTGAAAGTCTTTTCCAGGTCAGGGTCTGGAAAAGTCATTTAGTATACGGCCTGTTATTTTGAGAAATCGGAGCTTCTCCTCTTTTCCTTTATATGTGTGCGTTTTTTTGCATGTGTATGTGGATTCCAGTTTAGATTTCATACGAGTTGTGGAAGACTGGTAGAGCGGATGAAAGGTGTTAGACATTTTCAGATGGTGAAAGGCTTCACTGAGAACGTGACAGTGACACAGCAAAGTATGAAACATTTCAATGCCACTCTGTCAAGCTACCTTCACTTAGTGTTGTCACAAGTGAAAATCTTCTATAAACTCTTTACAAATGACATGTTTTACACTAGCATTACAAATACACTGTTCTTATGCTTACCTTCTCTGTCTGAGTTAACGTGTCAACCCTGGTAGTTACACAGATGCACAAAAACTACCTAAGATCCTTAGTCATAGATCCTGTAGTCAGAGAGACACAAATTAAACACAATGTTAACATAAATATTTCAAACCACAACACAGCTTGCAGAAAATTAATCACCCGCTGTAATGCATTTCCCTGCTTAAATCCCTTCTTAAACCAGACCCATTTACTGATGTGTGTGTGTCACACCAACTTGCTGGAATATTGACAAAAAAACCAAACTCTCTCTTTCAGGGATGGGATGAGTCTGCAGACTCAGGCTCCCAGCGACCACAACAGCTGCTGCCGCCACTGCCCCCAGGCTGGGAAGAGAAAGTGGACAACCTGGGACGGACCTACTATGTCAACCACAACAACCGCAGCACACAATGGAAACGGCCCTCCAACATGTACGCCCAAATGTCTCTCCTTACGTTTTTTTTGTTTTATATTCAGGAAAAAGAGAGCATTATCAATCTTGGCAAGAAAAAATTATACGCAGATCATTTTGAGAAATAATGCAGTTATGTCTTGATAGAAATATTAGCCAAAGATATTACGTACATACTGTTAATTTTCTGATTGCAACAAATTTACTAACTCGTCTGTCTGAATGAGTACAGAATGATGGGAGGTAGCTTGAAACTGGGATTGTTGCCTATGATGATTGCACCAGCATTTAGTGTCAGGTACACACTGTAACCAATCCAAACCTGCTTATTTTCTAATACTACATTAGCTATCAATTGCATTTTTAGTTTTCATTTACATAGGCATAATAATGACTTAAATTACTGTCTTTTGGCTCAATCATATGTCTGAGTAGTAATTTTGCTACTATAACTTTAGTTTTTGTGTGAAATCCTTTCTTCTCTCTTAGTGATGTGATTTCAGAGACTGAGAGTGATAATCAACAGCGGCAGATCAATCAGGAAGCTCACCGTGTTTTCCGATCGAGACGCCACATTAGTGAAGACCTGGAGAATGAGCACCTGGAACCCAGGGACATGGACAATGTGAGAGAAAGGAATATGCACATGACATACACACATACTGAGCCACAGCTGTCTCATGCGATTGTGGTTGCTAAAATGACAGCTTTGTCTCCTTGTTGCTCATGTAGTCCTGGGAGCTCATCACAGAAGAAGATCCCAGCGACAGCTCGCCCCCGTCTCTACCCGGCCCCTCCTCCATCTCCACACCGCAGCACCCACCAACAGCCGTCTCACAGGAGTTTTCGGAAGATTTGAATCTGAGGCTGTCGCTCACCCCTGATACCAATGGGGAAGTACCAGGGCCGAGCTCTGCCCTGGTAAGACTAAAACACTGTCATCTTCAGCAGTCAAACTCAAAACACTCCACATCAAAATGCCGTCATTTCTCAGTGACATTGATTAACAATAATTTCTGGCATGTTTTTCTAAAATCTCTACCTGCATGCTTTACTTTTACAGGGCCAACTGTCAAACAGACTCCGCTCCTCTAGTATGACGGATGGCGTCAGTGAACAGGCCCAGGCTCCTCCACTCACGGTACATAATTCTGAACCGCCACACATCTCTCTGTCCTACTTTTTCTCTCTACCTCCCTTTCCTTGTTACGCTTCTAGCGTGGTGAACATCCTTTGTTCTCTGATTGCCTGAGCAGGTTTGTATTAGTGTGTCGTGTCGTGTACTCATGCCTGCTGGCATGTGTCAGTGCTGTTGATGCACCACACGTTAAAATCACCTCTGTTCCTCTTCCTAAAATTTCCACTTCCAATTTCCGTTTGAGGTAGGTGTCACTAAGACCTCACCTTTCCTTCCTGAATCTTGGGTTCAACCCTTTCTTCTTGCCTCTGTAGGAATACCTCACCTTTTCCTCCCCCTCTCTCCCACTACTGCTTTTCTTCTCTGTGATTTACTCGCTGCAATGTTTCATGTGTCGTAGAAACACTGGCTCTATACGGTGTGCCAACAGCTTGACCAAACCAGTGGCAGAGAAGTAAGATTCCGAAAAGTACCGCATCTGTTCAAATATTACCCAGAGAGTCCTCAGTCAGTGTGAATCTCATCCGTGGTGAGTCGGCTCAACAAACGTGTCACAAGATCTGAATCAGATGTTTGTCACACAGCTGAGTCACAGCAGTGAGCTCGGCAGTTAGAAGCCAAGGAAAAATACAGGTGCTAATGTCAGCGTTTCCCTTGAATGAGAAGTCTCTCAGGACTGGACCGCTGTCAGACTCATAGAGAAGGGAAAATACAAACTGCTAGTACTTGGTTTAATATTTCCCTCTGGATGTAGTGAGCAATTGACTATGCAATGTCGTATAGGTTATATTTGGATCGAAAGATTATTCAAGAGGTGTAGGCGGATGTGTGCTCTTGGCACAGGCCAATGTATATGTGGTTTCTTTGTGGTCATCAGGCCTCATTTTATACTGGATTATGTTAGAGGAAGACTTCTATTTCTGATTTCACCTCCTTTCATAGTGAATGCAAACTCAAAATTTCTTCTGTCCGTTGTTCTTGTATCAATAACACTTTTACACCATTTGAATGTAAAGGTAGATAAATAGTGGATTGTGAGTTTGCATGAAAGTTCAAAATAGTTCAAAATAAGGAAATCTTTCTTTACTGTGGTTTTAGGGCTATGAATTAAAATGAGATATATAATTGTCTTCATTTTAATTTAGCTTTGAATAAGCAGAACAACATCCAGCATCTGTCAGCTGATATTGTCATTTAACTTGTGATGTGTCTTTCGGATTGCTCGAATAAAATTTCGAGGTCTGATTTTCTTTTTCATTGCATTCAGTCGTTTTTCTTACATTTTAATTCTGAAGTTCAAACTCTCCCTGTGAACTTTCTGTGAACTCCAGCTCAGTAATTCACTTCGCGGCTCTATCATTTTCAGAACACAGAATTAGTCTCTGACTGTAGCTTTTCTACTTGGGTAAGCATAAAGATTCAGCATTGGCTTGGGAATAAACACTGTTCAGGAAAAAGAGTCTGTGTCTTCCCTCCAACAGGGAAATTCAAGCACGGCAACTTCTGCAGATCACACTGTCTTGATTTTTTTGTTTTCTGTCTCAATAAGTTGATCTACTTTCCACTTTATTATCTAAAAGTTCCTGGCAGCACAGTGCTTACACCTTTCTTACAGCTACCTTTTGTGTGATCGAATCAGCCACACAACATTGGCTTCTTGCCAAATTATTTATTCTCCTTCCTGCTGCTTGTTGACCTCACAGCTCGTACCTTTCAGTGGATGCCCTCTCTATTTCATTTTTAATAATCACAGCACTTTCCCACCAAGGTCCATAATCACACTCCCTTTTCTCTCACCTCCTTTGAGAATAAATTCCCCCACTTTGTCCATTCAGTGTTACCTCACTCAACCCTCCCTCACTATTGCCCGAATGCTCTGTTGCCCCATCACTTTCCCCCTGCCAATGAAAACATGACAAAGTGTGAACTAAAGACCATCTTCCCCTGTTGTCTACCACCAGCAGAGTTCCCAGACCAGAAGAACAAGAGCTCAAACAGTCTCAGGTGGTGAGGAGTCGATGGTAATATCTCAGTTCATAATATACAGTTCAAACTCTGTTAGTTCACACACACCACGTAGGATGGGCTGTATCTGTCCCCTGATCAGATTGGATTGTAACAATATAATTTGGTCTGTAAACACAACTTACTTGATTACTTGCATATAGAGTACGGAAGTGAGATTCGATCACAGGTGGTCACATGAGATGCATTCAGGGAATGTTTTAATACCAGGTGAGAACAGATAAAGTTAGCACTGTCCACTTGTGATCAGATATCACTGGACAGATTTTGATACCAGTTCGGAACTGGTTCTCTGATTTAAAAAAAAACAGCCTAAAGCAATCTCATTACATAAAGAAATTAAACCATAAATCTCTGAAATAGACTACTTTTTGTAAATATTCCTAAAAAGGCACATCATTGCCAATGGTTATTGAGTTGATCTGAAAAACAAACCGATGAGTGAGAGAGTGAGTGAGAGAGTGAGTGAGAGAGTGAGTGAGTGAGTGATTGAGTGAGTGAGAGAGAGATTGAGCAAGAGCATGTGGTTTGTGTTTTGAACTGACAACCTGGTAGTCAATATGCTATTAAGTAATTCCCATGGTCTGCTTTTGATAATGAACCATAAAAATAGGATTATTGTATCATTACTGCTTAGTCATATCTTTAAAATGACCACATTGTATGTTGTGATCATTGGTTCAAGTATTTTGAGGAATCTTTATGCTACAAACTGTTAATAGTTCACTCATGAACTCTTAATTATCGACTTCTTTTACTAATGTGATGCTTATTTTAGTTTGAGTGTTTTGTGCGACATTGTGTTTTGTGTGTGAAAGTTCACATATTTCCCCCATTGTTGTAAAGCTTCTTTTGTAATATCCTGTGTCTCACCCGTTTCTGTCTTTGTGCTGCTGAAATGGGAAAAACATTTTAAAGCCTTGTCTTGTATTTAGATTATGAGAAAAAAATATGTGAACTAACTTTGGTTCAAAGGTTGACTTGACTCAGTTTGTGTCATCTTGCACCGACTGTAATTTGTTCCCTAACTCCCTTTCCATTTAAAAATCTCATTACATTAAGATTCCCTCCACGTGTCTGTGAGCACATTAGCCTGTAATGATGAGTTTTCTTTGCTTTGCTCTCTCCCCACACTTGGCCAGTCTCCCTCGTCGACTGCTTACACCTTGACCACACCTGGCCTGCCCCCTGGATGGGAGGAGAGGAAGGACGCCAAGGGAAGAACTTATTACGTGAACCATAACAACCGCACCACAACCTGGACTAGGCCAATTGTGCAGGTACAGCAGGTCCGGAGGCTGCCAGTCAGGCTGGACTCTTCTCTTTGCATGGGACTGGAATTTACCATGGTCCCTATCATGGCCTCGGCCATTGTACTGCACCTCCTCCTCTGTCCCCCTTCTGTGTTTCTCCTCTGTCTAGCCGTAAAGAATGACGGAAAGAGACTCAACTTTGCTCCCTCAAAGTCTCTTATTCTGTCGCTCCCTTTGTCCAGTTTCCTATTCTGTCCAACTTTATTGCACATCTCCCTTCTCTCGTCTAGCATTTTGTATAATACTCAGGACGAAGCACAGCTCTGCATTGGTCACGTCTTCCTAAACCCTGGCATGGAACTGCAAACCACCACTTTTTTCCCTCCCGTTTCCCATTTATACCCTGTTTTTCCACTTATCTACCCCTGTCGTTCCGTCTGAACTGAGGCGGTTCCACATAGTCTGAGCCAAGGGAGAGACTGCTACATGGGGTTGGTGTTATGGTTTATGCTCATGTCTCTCCTCCAAATCCACCCTTTCATTTCTGCTTTTATCAGAACACCGATTATATTATACCTGTTCATGTGTCTGTCATCACACTGTCTTCTCACTCTCTGATTCTCATGTTGTTGCTATTCCTAAGAAGGAGAGGACGCTGACAAATTATTTGAACAGTATAAAAGCATTGCTTTTAGCCCATTTTGTGTGCTACAAGGTTCAGGGTTGAGAGTAACAATAAATCTTTATTTCATAATTATTTGTTTCAAGTGACAAACGATTGCTTTCTTGGGCCTAAGTGACCCATGTGTTTGACGTTTTAGGAACTAATTTTCCTTGCATCCAGATCTCTCCGGTGCAGACATGCATCCTTGACAGCATGGCAAAGAGTATGACGGGGAGAAGTGTTTGTTTTCGCTAAACGGCGTAACTTGCCTCATTCCCCAAACTGCCTTTAACCTCAAAAGTGCTATTCTCACTGACAGCTGACTGAAGACGGAGCCAGCACCTCAGCAGCAGCAGAAGCAGCATCATCATCATCTGCAGCAGCATCAGCGTCAGGAGGAGCCTCAGCCCTGCCACCCCCATCCACCCCCTCCTCCTCCTCCTCCAATGCCTCCAACAACCACCTCCATGAACCCCAAGTCCGACGACCTCGTAGCCTCAGCTCCCCTACAGTCACCCTTTCCACCCCCTTAGAGGTGAGAATTAGCCACCTGTACGACCCCACTCCACCATACTCATCTTTTTTCTCCCTTCACTACCTGAGAAGCAATTCTTCTGTTTCTTTCCACACTTTCTTTTTCATGCGATCCTTTTTTGAATTAGCATTTCTGTCCTTTAGTGGGATCATGATCTTCACCAATATCCACCAGCAAATGCCTAATTTCCTCCTAAATATGACACCTAAATCCATCTTTGCTTTCCCTGTGGAAATGTTAATCTCAACATTTAACTGGTCTTTTCTCCTCATCTCTTAATTTTCATATCCTTTTATTTTCTTCATACTGCTCTTTCTTCCATCTTCAGCATATGAGCTGGGGACTGAGCACTAAAGCAGCTCTCCATTACACCATCATTATTTGCACGAAAAGGTCCGACTTTTGCTCGAGCTTTTTTTGATTTGTTTGTTTGATGATGGATTTGTTGTGCACGCTTGGCACAGTCATCATTTCATTCTGCAGTGTAGTGTGTGATGAAGTAATAACACTAACAGGATGAAACTAGTGTGGTAAATCCAAGATGCTTCAGTTACTGCTGAATGAATAATTTAAATTGATCACAGGTCCCAAGTGGTTGGACTTCCTTGGGTTTGCTTTAGTAAATTACACAAAGTCATACTGACCATGGAAACGGAATATAATTTAATCCAGAGGCAGTTTTAATAACACAGCCACAAAAGCAAATAATAAGTCTATCATTCCTGTAGATCTCATGGTTATTTCATCATTAGCAAATATCCTCAAAAGTATTTTATGAGAGAATAAGTGAGCTTTCAATGTTTTATTAAAACACCTCATATACTCTTAAATCTTGTGCCTGCAGCTGTTTAACCCTAGAAACCTCCAGCCTCCAGAAACTGTATTGGAAGCAAGCCGGCATCAGTGGAGCATATTTAGACTGAAGCTGCTGCTTGGACATTCAAAGTTTCGGACTCTGCCCATGTAGTAGTGGTTAATTTAAATGATTGTTTTGATCTAAACATTGTTTAAATACTGCTGGATGTTTGATCACTGATCTTAAATAATCTGATTGCCAATGATCAGTAATTGCTCATGGAGTTCTCTCCACAGTGCGTTTTCCTTGATTCACGTCAAGGTTTCGAATTCAGAACATTCTCATTAAGCCAGTCTCTTACTCATTGATTCAGTGGGTTTGACAATCAAACCAGGTGTAATAAAATAAGGTAACTTAAAGTAGCACATTGTAATGTCAGCATTTTGTTTGGAGCAAACAAGTGGTTTAAAGACTTTTATGCCAAAAAATAAGGTTTTCTGAATCGGATTCTGCTGCACCTATCAGATTTCATGCGTGTATCATAGCTGTGTGTGTGTCTGTATGCAGAACGTGTCGTTAAAACTGCTCTTGTTATCGCAGTTTCAAACAGATGATGGAGACATTTTAGAAAATGTGGGAAACTTTTGATTTACTTCTTTATCCTCTGTGGTCATTAACCCTCTTAACAACCCCACATTAATCATGAACTTTAGAATATGCAGTGTAGCTATAAATACACCACACAAACTTTACTAATTATGATCAACACATTGTACTTAAAAATGGATGGTCTCTGTTTGACCTGCACTTAACTGCATTTTAAGGGCTT